CTAGATGATAAGACCCTATTGCTGAAGACACCACTTGATTTTGTCTCAGAACACCAATAAACAAAGCTGAAAAGGAGCTGGAAGTGTTCTTCCTGCTGGCTAACTTTCACACTGGGATGTGCTATACAGTCTACTGGGGGAGAAAAGGCATTAACCGTCTTACCTGGCTATGAGCCCTGTGAACCATACAGTACCAATTTGCCAGGCAAGTGTGCTCATTGGTGTCACAGTGGCATGACTGACATGGAAGTGTCCAATCACTTTATTGTTGGATTTGAGGCTCTCTCCACAAGATGAATTCATGTCTGGTAAATAAACCTGGTCAAAATCCATAGGTAGGGAGGTCCTAGACCCTAAGACAGGAACCTCCTATTATTGTTTTGCTTAATGAATATGGTGCCAAACTGTGTTGCAGTGTTTATACCACTCTCTGAAATGGCCAGAGAAGTTTTTGTTTGTAGTTGATGAAGAGAATATGTAACTGTTGAGTGCTTGACCATAAACAGGACAACTATATCACTTCCTCCAAGGAATACTGTGGAAGAGGATATGGAAAGAACATAAGAGCCAGGGGATAGGGAGGGGTGCTGTGACATACTATTTTCTAAACATGGCACTATGAAAGCTAGCCAACCAGGGAGGATGCTTCCAGCCATAGCAGCCATAAACTCACAGCAGCAGTGGCTACCTGTATAAGGCCTGCATAAGACTGGGCCTATCGACATCCCATCACAGAGTTCGAGGGATGCATGGAGCCACAGGAACTTAAAGGTTGCTGGGTTTGAAGGAGTCATACTCCCCAGTTTTAGAGCCACTGGTAAATTTTTCTTGATCAAGCAAATAATCTCCCATACATGTGCATGTAGGCAACTGTAATTAAATATAGTAGGTAAAACAACAGAGACATGAATGTGCAAGGAACACTAATTGGAAGGGAGGAAAAGGGACACGGGGGAGGGGAGATGCTGAGAGGGGACATGATAAAAACATGTTAAATGTGTGTATGAAATTGTAAAGGAGTAAATAAACTTCATTTAAAGGTGGAGCCTGGGAACTGAATCGGGTCCTCTTGTGAGGGCAGTACTCACTCTTACCCACTGAGACATTGCTCCAGTCCCAATAGAGACCTACTGTAAATCTTCTAAAAGAGCTTTGTATTTTGGGGCACCTTTCTCTCAGATGAGATTGGTGGGTTTAGGCTGGGATGAGTGTAAACTATATCTTTGAGATCTAAATTCTTTTTTTTTTTTTTTCAAGACAGGGTTTTTCTGTGTAGCTTTGGAGCCTATCCTGGCACTTGATGTGGAGACCAGGCTGGCCTCGAACTCACAGAGATCTGCCTGCCTCTGCCTCCTGAGTGCTGGGATTAAAGGCGTGCACCACCAACGCCCGTCGAGATCTAAATTCTTATATATTGTTTTTGCATGTGTGTATACACATGTGTATGTATTTATACTCATGTTTCTCACTGGAAGGGACCTGAATCTCACTAAATAAGATGTCTGGCTCCCATCTTAGTTAAGAGTCTACACAGATCCTCTTGTCTCTATCTTCCCCATGCTAGAATTGTTAAGTGTACACCATCATGCCTAACCTTTTTTATATGGGTGCTAAGACTTGAACTCTGCTCCTCAGGCTTGCATTCCAAGTATTTTACCAATAGAGCTATATTTCCCAGTGCCCCCAAAAGAAACAATATCAACTGGGTCCAACCTATCGGTTTACGGTGTTGCTACTGACACTAAAAATGTTAAGATAGATCAAAGCCTCTAGACAGCCCCATAGTGTGCTCAAACTTATGCCTACTTCAGAGTAACTTTGATACTTGTCAGGACTACCCAAGATTTAGGTTGACATTTTTTATTCAAATTACATAAAAAAGTATCCAATGTCAAAGCACTTATAAGGATGTTTTTGTTGTTAGTTAGCTTGTTTTTAATAAAAATTGGCCAAATGCTAGAATCAAGAAATTTCACTGGGAGGATAGGTACTGGCCTATGAATTTTAGGACAAACCCAATCTACTGAAAATAATTTTAAAAGACATACTTTAATGTATATTTTCCTTTATAAGAGTTGCCATCATCATGGTCTCTTCACAGCAATAAAACCCTAACTAAGACACCAGTCTAACAAAATCAGTAAACTCTAGGTTCAGTGAGAGAGCCTGTATCTAAAACCAAGGTAGTGCCAGGTATGGTGGCATATACTTCTAATGCTAGCACTCAGAAGGTAGTGAGGCCAGCCCAATATACTTAGCAAGTTCCAGGACAGCCAGGGTTATATAGAGAGACCTTGTCTCAAAAAACCAAAAACAGTAAACCCAAGTGGGCTGATAGGAAGGAGGACTTGGTGAATCCAGGTTCTTGGTACAAAGGCTGATTACCTCAGTTCAAGCCCTGGAAGTCACATAGAAAGACGAAAGTCCCACAAGTTGTCCTCTGACCTCCACACAAATGCCACAACACACATGCATGCCATAGCACACACACACACACACACACACACACACACACACACACACACACACACATATATATATAATTAGGCAGTCACATAGACAAGGAGATGAAATACAAAAACAGATTAGCAGTAAAATCAAGAAGAAAGTCCTTACAAATGCTTTTAACAAAGTTAATAAGCCAATCCATAGTACCCCAGTGAGGAATAGATTTTATCTCCTAAAAGTGCACAAAGTTTAGGGAAAACCAAACATTAGTGTCTTAGTTAGGGTCACTATTACTCTGATGAAACACCAGGACCAAAAACAAGTTGGGGAGGAAAGGGTTTACTTGGCTTACACTTCCACATTGCTGTTCATCACTGAAGGAAGTCAAGACAGGAACCTGGAAGCAGGAGCTGATGCAGAGGCCATGGAGGGGTGCTGCTTACTAGCTTGCTCCTTGTGGTTTGCTCAACCTGCTGTCTTATAGAACTCAGGACCAACCCAGGGATGGCCCCACCCACAATAGACTGGGTCCTCCTCCATCAATCACTAATTAAGAAAATGCCCCACAGGCTTGTCAGCTTACAACCTGATCTTCTCTGGACATTTTCTCAATTTTCTCAATTGAGGTTCCCTCCTCGCAGATGACTATAGCTTGTGTCAAGTTGATGTAAAACAGGCCAGCACAATTAGGTCCTTCTAAAAGGCATGAGGACATACTGACTAGGATGAAGACCACTGATGTCATGTATGGTGCTGCCTTTCTCTGTAGTTTGCTGTGCTCATTTGTGCTGTGAGTCACTTTCGGCTATTCCATGCTGTAAACTGAAGTTCCCAGAAAAAGCCACACCCATGTAAAGGATTCAGCATGGCTGAATGGTTGATTTGAACTTCATGATTGTAGAGAGTTGTAATGTTCAGATCCAGAACCCAGGTTATCTTGGGTTATTGTTAGTCCCTTAATATTCATTCATTGCTAACTGACCTAACATCGTTTCAGCTATTATGTAAAACCTTTGGGATATATTAACAGACCATTAGCTTCCACAACCCCAAAGCTAAAATATCATCAGATAATGTCTTGAAGCCTGTCACTGAGCTGCCCCTGCCTTGCTATAACCGGCATCTGCACTGTGCCCACCCATGTATTTGCTAAATGCTTTGCACTATGACTTCCTTTTGTTTTGTGACTATAAAAGTTCATAAAAAAAAACAAATCTGTGTTGAAACATGTTATATTTGGGGCAACCTGAATTCATGCCACTGGGCCATAGTTACTGGTATTTGGCTCAGAATCAATTCTTTTCTTCCTATTAGGTGAAGTTGTGCCTTGCATTGCCATCGTGAAACATTGTACTAGGGGAAATTCTTTGTGACCCTCCAAAAGTCAGAATTCTACTGGCAATGTGAACGAACCAGTATGTGTCACAGAAGAGCGGACTGTACACGTGGAAAGAATTAATAGTAACACACAATAGTAACATATGTTGGCAGAAGAATTAATGGGAAAGAGTTTTTAATGCATGTACTTTTCATAATATGTATAAAAACATCAACTATGCTGGTTTTTTATAAATGTGTGTTGCACTCACAAGAAGGTAAGAAGGTAATTTGTTAGGCTAATGCTGTAAAAAAACAAAAACAAAAACCACCCCTGAATCTCAGGACCGGAGAGCAGATGTTCCCTCCTTCCTCTCCCAGAACAAAGCAGGCTGCTGAGGCTGTACCCAGGGATCCAGCTTCCTCCCTGTAATGGGGTCTCTCAACCATGGACCTCCAGGTTCTCCCTGGGCTGTCCGTGGTCTGCAGGGGAGGGCAATGGAGGAGAAAGAGGGAGAAAGAGAGAGGTAGGAAGGAAGGGAGACAGACAGATAGACAGACAGACAGACAGACAGACAGAGACCCCCCTTGAGTCCTTATCCCAACCCCAGAGCTGAGCGAAGGAAAAGAGTTTGGTGAATCTAGATTTTTGTCTCAATCAAACAGGTTAACTAGTAAGGAATGGAAACTAGGGAAATAGACTAATCTAAAACATGGTCACGTGGTGTCGCATGTCTGCAATCCTAGCATTTGGGAGGTTTCAACAAAACAAAGATAGGTCTATTTGTATGTATGTGTAATCAACCAATTAAACACAGAGCAGAAATTAGAGAAAACACAGTTTCCCATCCACTCTGCTTTCCTGTGTGGCCTGGTAAGGCCCCTGTGCCTCAAATGAGTAATACAAATCTCAGGCTGCAACTCACCTTGAGCGATGGTTACTGGCAAAACGAGGCAACTTCAGAAAGCGCAGCCAGACACGTGCTTTCCATAGCTGGTCAGTGTTAGTCATTCATCCATTCAAGCTAACACTTACCACAGCGGGTGGAATTAGAGTTAGTTTATGAGGCTGAAAAGCAACTCTGTCGTAGGCCTGGGGACTTGGGACGAGGAAGCCTTGGCCCCGCCCAGCTCGTGGCCACGCCCACCCTTGAGAGCCGGAAGGGCAGTTGCCTAGCAGCAGGTGTTTCTCTCTCGGAGTCCTAGACAGCCTCCAGCAGCCAGGAAGAAGCGCCATGCCCAAGCAAGCTGTAGTGACCTTGCGCTACGGGCCCTACAGTGCAGTGGGTCTGTCCGTGGAGCACCGCACCTACCGACTAGAGGGTCTGCAAGGTGGGTCACCCCACTGAGTGCCTCTTTGGGCCTCAACCTCCTGAACTCACGCTGAGTTCTCTCTACCTAGCCCTTCCCTCATAACCCAGGCAAGTGCCACCTTCCCCAGGAAGTCTTCCCTCCGGCTCACACTATTTGGATATAAAACTGAAAACGAATATAATGTGTGGGCACCCTGAGTGTTACTAGGCAAAATACACGAGTAAAATGGCTAGAAAAAGTACCTTTTCAATTTGGGAAAATTAGGGTCAGAAATATTAAGTGCCCTTCGTAAGTGGTGGCTTTCAGAGTGACAGGGCTGAGATTCTATCCCTTGCTTGCTCATCTATGCAGCAAGGCCTGTGTTAAAAATCTGTGTGCATGGACTCAGGCCGATGGGCTCACTGTTGAACAGGATGTGTGCAGGATAGCACTGATTGCTGAGAGTCATGCCTAAACCCTGACAGACTAGAGGGCACATGGGAACCTACCCACAGCGGAGCTCCCAGAATTTTAAGGCGAAAGTCCCAGCTCCACCAGTCCCAAGAGACCAAACCACCACCTGTGTCTCTAGAGACACAGAACTTATAGAATATATATGAATTTATTGGAATGACTTACAGGCTGCAGCCCAACAATAGCTAGTTGTGAATAGAAAGTCCAAGAATCCAGTAGTTACTCAGTCCCACAAGGCCGGGTGTCTCAGCTGGTCTTCTGAATATGCTGAAATCCCCAAGTTGGTTCAATGGATGTGTTGACAAGGCAAGGGTAAGCAGGCAAACAAAGGAACCTTCGTTCTTCCCTTGTCATTATATAGGTTTCCAGAAGAAGGTGTGGCCCAGATTAAAGGTGTGTCTTCCAGCCTCAGGGTCTGGATTAAAGGCATGTGTCATCCCACCTCAAGAGCTGGATCAAAGACATGTTCCCTTCCTGCCCCAAGATCTGAATCACAGGTGTGCCCTCCAATTCTGGATTGTAGTTCATTCCAGATGTAGTCAAGTTGACAACCAAGAATAGCCATATGATAATTAAAGAGATAAACTGAGAGAAACAGAGAAATTTAATTAATGTGGCACACTGGGAGGAGGAAATGATATTTGGGTACAATGAGCCCAAATCCATCCCTGGGATACTGCCAGTGACACACATCTTTAATCCCAGCACTCGGGAGGCAGTGGCAGGTGAATCTTTGAGTTTGAGGCCAGCCTGGTCCACAGAATGAGCTCCAGCACTATCAGGGCTACACAGAGAAACCCTGTCTTAAAAAACAAAAAATTGAAGGAAGAATTGGTGCAGGAGATGAGATATTTGTACGCTCAAGCTGTTCTGATTGAGCATCACCAGAGTGGAGGAAGACTCCTTGAGCACTGAGCAGAGTTAAGCAAGCAGGTGACCTAAAGATACTCAAAGTAAAGGCAGAGATGCCAGACTTTCATCTCAGTTTGAGTTACCTTGTATGACCAAGTGGTAAGTTGGCTCTTTTAGCAAAAGCAGTTTCTAAGTGCCTGTTAGAGTGCTGGTAACTGGAGGGGATTGAGGACACCTTTGAGTTGGGTTTTAATGATTGAATAGAGATTGGCCAGGTGAAGAGAGGCCAGAGCATTCTGGGCAGAAGACCTGACACTATTGGAATCTGGTGGTATAAATAAGTGTTGAGATGTTGAACTGATAGAGGTTAGGCCAGAAGGAGCAACAGTTCAGGGCTACCCGAGAACTTCAGGCAGGGAAACGAAACTTCAGTTGCTTTGAACACAAGCTAGAGGGTCAAGAGTGGGAAGGAGACAGGCAATAGAAGGGATTGGATGGTGGCCCTAAGTTGTAATGAGAGCGCCTTGGATCAAGACAGCCATAAAAGGAAGCTATGCCAAGCAACAGCAGTGAACTCCCTAGGACAGTAGACTGGGTAGGTAAGGGTAGAGAGGGTGCCAGCGGCATCCCTCCATGTCTGGCTAGCTGATGAATGGCCATGATGTCTACAAACTGGAGAGCACCAGCCAGGTGTCACAGTTTGGATGATCACATTCCATTTTGGACTCATTAAACTTTGCATGCTTTTAGCTACCTAGGTCAATGTCCAAAGAATAAGAAACTCTGATCCTGTCAAACCAAGGCCACCTATGACTTCATTAACCTTAGTTATGTTCTAATGGCCCTATCTCCAAGTATTATCAGAGGGAGTTAGGACTTTCAACATACAAAATAGAGAAAGCACAATTCAGTCCATAGCAGCAGCATGTGATGACATTCATTACAGATTGCAGTATCATAGAACCATCATTGTCTACTTCCAGAGTTTTTTGGTATCCTAAACAATAACTCTACTTAGTAAGCAGTAACTCCAACCTCCCACCCTAGCCCTGATACACTTTAATCATCCATCCCTGTGTGTACCAAGCTTTCTCTTTCTTTGGGGCCAACAACCAGCTCCCAAATCATGACACAGAGGCTTCTTATTAGTTATGAATGCTCAGCCTAGCTTAGGCTCCTTTCTAGCCACCTCTTTTTAACTTAATTAGCCTACCTTTTGCCTCAAGGCTTTTTACTTTTCTTTCCTTCTATATATCTGTCTTTACTGTTTCTCATGTCTGGCTGATGGTGGCTGTCTGGCTTCTACTAGCCTTGGGAATCTCCCTCGTTCTCTCCTCTGCCTCCTCCTTCTCTATTCTCTTCCAAGCCTAGATTTCTCCTCCTATTTATTCTCTCTGCCTGCCAGCCCCACCTATCCTTTTTCTGCCTACCTATTGGCCAGTCAGCCTATTATTAGACCAATCAGGTGCTTTAGTCAGGCAAGGTGAAACAAATGCAACACATAGTTAAACACACCTCCTTGCATCATTAAACAAATGCAGTATAAACAAATGTAACAACACACCTTTACACAGTTAAAGTAATATTCCACAGCATAAACAAATGCGACACATAGTTAAATACACCTCCTTGCATCATTAAACAAATGCAGTATAAATGTAACAACAAACCTCTACACAGTTAAAGTAATATTCCACAGCATAAACAATTGTAACACACCTCTACACAGTTGAAGTAATATTCCACAGCATAAACAAATGCAACACATCTTTACATAGTTAAACATTCTACAACACCTGTGAAACTTCCAAGTTTAGATTTTTAATATGCATTAAGTCTACTTATAGCCCTTCACCACTACTTACAGATCTTCACTATGGCATTAGCAGAGGCTCTGAGGTTGAGCTGACCTAGTTTTGACATGGCCTCCACTACTCATAGACTTATAGACAAAGTCAAAGTCAAGTTGTTTTCCTTTATGAGCCTTACTTTCCTTGTTGGTAAAGGAGAATGTGAACCCCTCATTGGCGTGAGTCTAACAAGAAAAGCACAGAAAGGCATGTGTGGCAAGGACTTACTCTGGAGACAGTCATTAGGAAAGGAGGAGGGGTCTCTCAGAACATTTGAGACGTCGTAAGCAGTTTGCAATGGTAGAGGATGGTGTATAGCAAGAGAGTTGGGTCTGTTTTGCCCTTGACCTCAAGCAGTCAGCAAAGGTGCCTAGGCAAAGAACCATTAATCCCAGTATTTAGGAGGCAGAGCTAGGCAGCTCTCTGAGTTTGAGGACAGCCTGGTCTACAGAGTGAGTTCTAGGACAGTCAGGGCTACACAGAGAAACCCTGTCTCCAGAAAAAAAAAACACCATAATTTGTACTTTAAGGTTCCATTCTAAAAGGAGAAATTGGAGAAGAGAAATGAGGAACATTGGATTATTAAGAGACCAAACCAGTGTGTAGAAATCATGTTCTAGAATTTAGAAGAAACGAAGGAAGGCAGGAGCCATTCTAACTGTAAACCAGATCTAGATACTGATGACGTTAGCTCCTACCTTGTCTGTCTCGTAGGTCCTGGCTGCTCTCTTTTTGCTGTCTCTTTGCCTTGCACTCATTTCCCATTCCTCCCTCCATTATACCTACTACTAGGCCTGTCAATCCATCCCACAGTCTTTGTCCTCAGCATATGTCTGTAATTCAACCCTTCATGTCCCTGTAAACCTTCCTCCTTCACTGTTTGTTTATGTCAGTCACCATCATCCTCTGGGCTGTGTCATGGCTTCCACCTGAGCTCTCTGTGACGACGGTGGTCTCTTTGTAATCCATCCTCAAAACCAGAGCGGGATCAGAACGTGGCTTTATTCCTGGGTGACTAGTGACTCCCAGCTCATAGAAGTCAAAGACCTTCCAAGGCTTTGAGGCTTCCCCAACCTCTCTGACCTCTTTACACATCCCCTACAGCCACAGCCACATCCTCACTGTCCATGGAACTCTCCAGAGACCCCAGGAGCTGACACCTGGCACTCAGCAGATGCTGCACCTGTGATGCCTTTTCCCATATGATCGTCCCTTTCCTCCCTCAGCCTTCAAATCATAGCCACAAAAGTCACCATCAGAGACAAGACATCCTGGAGTGTGTGTGTGTGTGTGTGTGTGTGTGTGTGTGTGTGTGCAAAAGTTGCAGGAGTCCGTTCTCTCCTTCTACCATGTGGGTACTGGGTATCAAACTAAGGTTGGCAGACTTGATAGCAAATGCCTTCACCCACTGAGCTGGCTCAGCATGTCTACCTCCTTCCTTCCCTATTCCTTTCCCTCCTCCTTTTGTCCTTCTTTGTGGTTAGAGGTATGAGCTGCAGCACTGATCTCACCTCCTTACCTCACACACACTTGCACATAATCTTCAGAGAGTCCCATCTGTCCCGATCCCTGTGGAGTCCCAGTTCCTAGGATTGTATCTGGTATATGGAACGTGTTGTACGACTTTTCCTGGGGAGGTATGAATAAATGACTAGTAACCCCAGATGGGGCACAAATAGAGACCAAAGAAACAGTTCCACCCAAGTCTAACTTAGCCAGCCCGAGAGCTTGTTGGGATGGCCTGCTTGGAGGAGTGGGAGTAATTGAAAGACAACGGCCTCCTAAAAAAGCCCGCCCTGCATGGGTGGTGACTCACAGAAGCTGCATCCATTGAGGTCCCTACTGAAGTGTGTACTCTCTCCC